ATGGCCTCACGGGAAGTAAAATCTGATCCATACTATCCACATATGGAAATTTCGCGGGGTCGCTGCTGGACTCACCCATGGATTTTTGCTTACGGGCCAAGTCGCTGCTGAGCTCGATAGAAATGACAGCAACTGCCCGCGCCAGAAGCGTGCTGTTCTTCAGCAGAGTCGACAGCGGGCAGCGCAGCTTCTCCTGCTCCTCGACGGTGAGCGTTTCGATTGTTCCTTCTCCAAGGGGAACACCGTTCAAGGTTACTTCCTCACGGTCGACGGGGAGTGTCGGGTAGCCCCACTTGGTACCACACGAAACGAGCCACCGTGGAGCGGCAAGCGCCCCTAAAGAGCCTAACGAAAGCACACTATTGCTTGCACGCAAACTCTTCGTTTACGGGTTCTAAAATTAAAATTAGAACCTCTGCCTCGTCCAACCTTGCTTCGTACTTTACCCGCGCAATGTCCTTGAACTGGCAACGGCTTTCTCAATGCTTTGATGAAGTCTTCTTTTTGTCGGAGATGCCGTATCCTCCACATTGCAGGTCCCTCACGGATAGTCGCTCTTGTGGACGTTGCGTCGGGGCTGGCCTCCTACCACTCGTGCCCTCCCGTTTCCGCACATCAAATAGTATACGTGGTGACGTATCATGCATGATGACGTGAATGGAGGGTCGTGCGTCAATGATGGCCTACCGGACTTTTATGCCCGTCTCCTAACACCGTCTCGAATCCCATGGCATACGCCCCCTGAGAGTAGCACGCCTGCCTTTTCATCCGACTGTCCGTACTTCGGTGGATGAGGAACTGCAGTTGTTTTTGCCGGGCGTTCTACCGATGTTTTGAGCGATTGTCAGCGCCACAGTCTCTGTGTTGCTACACCGTGTGAAGAAACGTCGCGAATTACGCAATATACCAATAACACGACAGCACATCATTTCATGAAAGATAAATTAATTAAGTCAGCGTGACCGCCTTATTGTCAACTGGATTGTGAAGCCAGAAGACAATGCTCTCAATTCCGTTTCCAGAATGAGAATGCATCCAGAAATTCGTAAACAACGATGCAAGTCAATGACTTGCTATACGCTGTTAAACGTATAAGAACTTTTAAAATCGAAAAGATCTTAGCACAAAGGCTAGAAGCTGACATTTTTTGCAAAAAACCGACGGGGGTTATTCTTGTGATTTGCCATTGTGGGCGAAAAGAAAACCCGAGAATAGCCCGTTTCGCAATTGTGGGGATCGAACGATTTTTTCGGTGCAGTTCCCGTTTATTTTCATCCAATGTGGGCGTCGAAATCACTGGGCTTCGAGCGTCGGCCAATTGTAATTCGAGATTTATAGTGCCGGGGGGATTGTAATAATGCCGTTCCGCTAACTGCCCAGCGACATAGAGCCTGCTTGCTTTAGTTTTCTGGTTTTCCAGCGCTATATATTATAGGAATAACGTGGCAATGTCAACGTCATTGAACAGTTTAGGAAGCAATAGTGGGGGTTATTTGGACCGCAATCAGTTGTCGGTATTCCGAACAGAGATATGCAAGGCAAAGGCAGCAACATCGTTTTGCGTTCTGAAGGAGAATTGTTGCGACAGTCACTGCTTGTCATGGCATAGACGAAATCCCTTTTTGTACCCGTATAGGCCGCTCTTATGTCCCAACACGCGTTTCTGGACTGAGGCTAAGCGTATGAAGGTGCGGACATGGTGTAAGAGGGGCAGACTCTGTTTATTCGCTCACACGAAAGAAGAACAGATGTATCATCCACTGGTCTACAAGACACAAGTCTGCAGAGACTATCCTCGATGTGACAAGCCCTATTGTCCATTCGCTCACGGGTTGCATGAACTTCGAGATCCAGAACAAATCGACATCCCGCTACTGCAAGGGCCTGAAATTGTGGAAGACCATGTGGCTCAGATCATTGGCGAGGACAGAATCCTCAATGAGTTCCTCAAAGCTGCCAAGGACAGAGAACAGCTGCTGTCCGCCGCCAAAAACATACCGGCGACCGCCCCCTCGACCGCAGAGAATGCCGGGGTGGTCTTGTTGGACAATGATAAAATCGCCGTCGGAGTTGGCGGCCATTGTTTGTCGCCATTTGGCATACTTGCCATCGAACTAGAAACTCTTTCCATCAATTAGAAATTTTCTTTATCAGCCCAGACCTTGTGGGGTAGTACCACGCCACCATAATCAGATCAGCCATTCGAATAATGAAGGTTAGCATGGAACAAGCGGTAGCACACGCGTGTGCTGCGCAATATTTGTAGTCGAGTCTCCGTTGTCGTCGAGTATCCGTTGTCGTCGAGTATCCGTTGTCGTCGAGTATCCGTTGTCGTCGAGTATCCGTCGACGTCGAGTATCCGTCGACATCGAGTATCCGTCGACGTCGAGTATCCGTCGACGTCGAGTATCCGTCGACGTCGAGTATCCGTCGTCTGGGTCCAATTACAAGGACGAATTCAAAGAGTGAATGCTGCAGGATCTATCTGCCCGGATATGCAATATAGGCGGCTCTTCCTCTTCATTCAAAAAATGGGCGATATCACGTCTGACCCGCTGTACATTGGCCCTGAGCTGTTGGACTTCATCTGCGATTTCTGCGGTGGACTCGGAGGCTTCGCTGGCAAGCATATCAGTAACACCGGACACGCTGATATCGGCGATGAAGTCATTCATGTCCGCAAACGGTTTGAGCCGGGCTTTCAACGCGGGTTGTCGTAATGCCTTACGATTGCTCAGCGCCAGTATCATGTCATTGGGTGGAGGCAACAGCGCCTCCTTATTGTGTCGAATGGCTCTAGTGGATTTGAGCATGTGTAGTGCGTCTCGAAGAGCCTGCTCAAAAATCTCGGTCTCATGCTCGAGAATAATACGGTTTTCGTGGGCAAACAATGGATACCCATTCGCGATTTCGCGAAGTCTTCGTCTTCGATGCTTGACTAGTTTAATTAGCCTTAGAGTGTAAGCAGGCAGTTGCAAGGATGCTGTATCCGGACCGACATTCACAACTTTGAGCTTCATTAATTCATTGGCTCCCTGAGCGTAAAAGTATCGCTGAGGCATAATCAGATCTGCCGCCGATACCGGTGGTGCATTCACCCCTCGGGCGCATTGTCTCCTCATACTGTCCTCCCGCACTACCTGCACAAAACTCCTTAAGGTACACTCCGCCTGCTTCACTTGCTGACTCTTCGGCGGTAATATTTCCGCCGGCTTAAACTTCAGTACCGGTGACTCGCAAAATGTCCTCCCAGAAGACGACATCGAATCCGTCTCAGAAACAACTGAGAAAACAAACATCGTGACCAGGAAGAAATCTGTTACTGTGATGTTCGCTCTTGCGACGGTCCATTATCGTCTTGCTCAAACGACCGCTATCATGCAAACTACTACCTGTATGCTCCGGCGGCTCAAGCTTCGGCGTACCCTGACGGGTCATTGCTCTTGCCAGAGCCTCCACGGGCGCCTTCATAATATGATTCAAAAATAGGTGGTTCCTTCCTCATATCCATACCGGGATTTTGTAAAATATGCAGCTGCATAAGCAACTCACCACTGTCAGTCGGTTGGGATGAGGTACTACAAAAGAAGTCGTCACCGTTTAGTCTGCTTCTTTGTCCAGAAATGACCTTTGGTGGGATGACGAGCTGCACTGCGTTCGCCGGATCGGGAAATGCACTGCATTCGCTGGGTCGGGAATCGCCGAGGTTGAGCTGAGGCATCATGATACTAATTGACTTTGCCAAAAATAGAAAAGAGTGTTTTTACTCCTCTGCTCGCTCCGTTAGTGTCACTGCTCGGGTTAGCCCACGACCACCATTCCTGAAACCCGCCTGGGTACGGACCCAACCGGGTTGTAGGCACTCCTGGGTATGGATCCAACCGGACTGTAGACCCTGTACGGCGCTTGTGTCATGTGGACAAAACGACCCGACAGACGCCATTGTTTCCGTACGACTATGCGCGACGGTGGAGCCATTTGACGAAGGTCTAGCCTGGCTCGGGACCGTACAGTGGTCATTGGATGGGTAAAGACCCTCCGTGACCGTACAGTACCCATTAGATCGGTAACAACCCTGTTGGATCAACCCTGTTAGATCGGTTGGTATCAAGTAGATTGGTACGATATAGCGTTGAGGTGGACAGCTTATTCTTGTGGTTGATTATCTTGTGGTTGGTTATCTTGAGGTTGCTGGTTGGTTGTTGTTCGCTTGTTTTGTGATGAGACCCAGTCGAATTTGCAGTCGTATGAGAAGCCTTCGTTAAGGAGCAAGCCGTTGAACAGCCTTTTGACATAATAATAGTCAGGTCTATCGAGGAACCGTAGTGATCTACAATATTTCATGTAGATAAGAAATTCTGAAGGGCATCCTTTGCATAATGTTTCCAAAGGAGTTGAGTGTTTCTTCTCTTGTATGAGTTGATATTTGTCTTTTTTGCTAGTGGCCTTAAGTCCTTGCCACGGTAGTTCCCCTTTATGGAAGTATAGGAAGACATATCCCAAACTTTCCATATCATCACGTCGTGATTGTTCCATACCAAGATGGGTGTTGAGTGACACATATCGTGCGGTTCCAGTCAAGGATTTGCCTTGTCGAAAGGGGATATGAAAGCCGGTGCGTGTGTCCTTATATCGCTTTCCGAGACCGAAGTCGATAACAAATACGATATCTTGTGTCCTAGCCCGGCGTCGTCCAATTAGAAAATTATGGGGCTTTATATCTCGATGTAGTATTCCACGATTATGAACAAACTCAATACGATCAATCATTTGCTCAGCAAGCATTAGAGTCGTCTTAAGTCGAAATTCACGACCACAATAATTAAACAAATCCTCCAAGCTAGGACCCAACAGATCCATTACCAATATGGAAAATTCACCTTCTGTACCATACCAATGAATAGCAGCTATACCCTTACCACCTTGTAAATGACGATACAACTTACACTCAAACATCAAATGAGGATTATGATGCTTTATCGGCTCTAACTTTATCGCTACTTCTTCGCCTGACCGGACATTTTGTCCTGAGTATATTTCTCCAAAACTGCCACTACCAATCTTGCGACCCACACGGTATCCGCCACCAACACAATCAGCAGCACCCGCAATACCTGCGGGAGGACCGCCGCCACTCTTACTCGCTATACGAATCGTCTTGTAGGCGGATATAATTTTCTCCCGCAGCAGATAACACTGACAGAGGAGAAATCACAAATGGTAACAAAATTAATAACGCAAAAAACACAACCCCAACTCCAGGCCCCTGACCCCTGGTTCTGGACATGCCCGCTGGAAGAACATAGCTAAAAAAGGACCACTCCCACCCACCTGCCCAATACGGTTCTTTAGCAAGAGAAACGACGTCGGGCACAGCCTCAATTCTGATGCATGGGAAAGTAACACAATAAAACACTGTATATGGTGCCCTGAGTCCGGTGCCATGCGTCCGGTGCCCTGGGTCCGGTGCCATGAGTCCAGTGTCATGGGTCCAGTGTCATGGGTCCGGTGCCCTGAGTCCGGTGCCATGGGTCCAGTGTGTCATGGGACCGGTGCCATGCGGCCGGTGCCATGCGTCCAGTCACATGGACGGAGATCTCAGTTAGGACATTCGGAATTGACAATTACCGTTTTGGGTTATGTATCGAACCCAGGGTAGTGCTTGATAGCCGGTGGATTCGAAGATCTTGAGATATCTGACACTTATTTTGCTCATAGTAAAGAAGGGTATTTCGAATTGGATTTCGGCCGGTTTCCTGAACCAGTAGTCGGTGACCGCCTCATTAGTACTGGTGGTAGGTCTGTTCATGGTTGCCGAGAGGATTTGTTCTTTCTGACCGGGCATATGTTTGAGTGACCAGACGAAAACAGAGTCTTCAGGCTTGTATTTAACTGTGCCGCTGGAGCACTTGAATGAAGGCGAGCTAGCGTTGACGGGTGCTGGGATGACTACGTCGACTTTGGTAGCGATTTTGCGTGGTCTGAAAGAGCTTTTAAGCTTAATAAAGTAGCTAACTTTCGATTGGGAAGGGTCGAGATAGCTGGGTCCGAGTGTGACTTCTAGCCAGAATGGCAGTAGCGTTTCATCTACAACATCTCCGGGGTCATCGTTAGGTACGGTATAGGTCATTAGATCAAATTCTCCGTCGGGTGGGATAAATGAAATCGTGCGATCCGCTTCGAACTTATTCAAACGGACACATTGATGGAATCGAATGTTGTGTAACTCAACCGTAGCGGCCATCTCTCGACCACCTACTCCCCCCGTACCCATACCAACAACTGATTGACCATCAACTGTCTTGGATTCAACCATTTTATCGTTCAAGCCTAGCTTAAGTTCAGGCATGCCGGTAAGGCAGCATTTCATCTTTAAACTTCCTATTATCTCAGAACGCAGAATCTTATTGCTCGCAGAAACCAAGCAATCAATCCTTTCAACCACGTCCAAAAAGACTTCATTCTTCTTGTGCCGTATACCCTCTGGTCGCCATGAGACGGGACTCGTCAAAGGGGTGTTAGCTTTACCACCACTACTACTTAGGAATTTCTTCAACACTTTCGGCTCGGTTATCTGCGGGAATCCGTTGTCGATCACCTCATCCAACAACTCATACACGGATACAAAATTGTCACGTAATGACTCCTCATCAAATCGGTGCAAATGCTGCGTAAACAACTCGCATAAACGGCGCAAAAACACCAAAGTCGTTGCCACATTCGTGTGCACACGCGACACCGCCACCGCATACACGTCGTTCTGCTTCATCCAACAATACGTAATCCCATTATCCGAAAAGATGGGCGCCACGTCCTTGGCACTCTCGTCAATAAACAAGTCATAGAACCTGACAAACAATAAACTATCAAACCACTCTAGACAGCCGAATAAAACGTCCCTCCCGCCTCTTACCGGCCAGGCACGTCCTGGAGCTTCACCTCTCCTCGGTAGTCACGCACTATAATGGGCTGCCCCTTGTTATCCAAGAGCAACACTCCGCTGGCCATCTATTTAATTTTACATGATATTTCCCGCCCGCCGGTCCGGTTCAACCCCGTTCATTTGTACAGCCCGCCTTTCTGCCCGCGATGCCTGGCCCCTCCACCAACCCCCCCCTCCTCCTGAGAAGTCGCAGAGTAAGCACAGAAAAAGCACCTATCTCAGAAGCTGATCAGACCACCTTCACGTGCATATGATTTCAAGACCCGCGAAGCGTTACCCAGGGTTGCCGGCTTCAGGCTTAACCCGGGGTAACGATGAGCTGGCAATAGATCAAAGACACAACAGGTCACCAACCTATGCGGGCAGCGGTCTCCTGTCGGTAAGGTCCTCCTCATGACTCCTTCTGAGGAAGTGCCTTCCTCTCCGCTTCATCATCTCAAGTAGGCGGCGGGCGGCGGCCACGGCAACCGAGGCTCGGGACACACTCCACCAAAGTTTCCGGCCCCACCTTAAAGGAAGGTTGAAAATAAAAAAATGTGCTGCGCCATACGACGCGCTGCACACGCGTGTGCGAACGATCGGAAAACCGACGCCGAAACCAGAAATGTGCCGGCTCACAAAAGTCATTGTTATTATAATTCCCGCAAGTCATTAGCTAGTCCCCGTACTACTTGTGCAGCCTGCGGCAACAAGATCGGGGTGTTTCCGCCGAGCAAAAGCTCTTGCTTCCGGGGTAGCTTTACATAACTGCAAACCGAATAATTATGGGCGGGGGAATGATGTCCGGGGTTGGAGGGGTGTTGTGTCCAGGCTGGAAGGGAGGGACCGACAAGACCGATAAAATGGGGGGGGGGGGGTTGAACAGAATGGGGGGTGATGGTTACATGTTCGGGTATGGTTTGGGTGGCAGTTTGCTTTAGCCTGAGCCAAGGATGGTCGAGCATTTCGTAGGCGCTGGCTCGTTGGTTGGGATCGAGCTCGAGCATGGGCAGGAGGAAGTCTGTGAGATAGGAGGCTTCGCTGGGCGGCAGGTGGTACCGGTTGATGAGCACATCTTCGAGTCCCCAGAATTTGAGGTCGACGATTCGTCGTAGAGTTCCTTCGGGGGTAAAGATGCGTTGGCTGTCTGGGGCCTTTGCGAGGAGTGATCGCGGTAGAGGGCCGAGTAGTTCGATAACGAGTGCCAGGTGGTCCTCATCGCGGCTATAGTCGGCGGCGCCCTTGGGTTCGAACAGGTAGTCGCCTGTGATCATTTCGAACATGAGGCACGCGAAGCTCCAGATGTCGGCAGAGGTATCGTAGCCGGCGCCAATCAAGACCTCGGGTGCCCGATACTGTCTGGTTTGTATGTCGGGACTGAAGTGTTTGTGAACCCAGCAGCCGTTGCCCAGGTCGACGATTTTATACTGCGCCGACATAGCCACAAATACACTAGCGTCCAGCGGCTTCAAGTCGAACGCACCCTCAGGAGTCATTATCACAGACAGCTTCTCGTTCTCCGCCACCGGTCCAAATGGGGGGATGTTGATCTTCGCCGGCTCGGCAGGAGCCCCCAGCGCCGAGGACCGCATGTGCGCCTCATATGTATTCCTCGGCAACCAAATCAAAGGCTGGCGCCCATGAGAATACAGATCGGGAAAATTTCGCTTGTAATCTGCGATGTCGCGCAAACTCCGAGTTAGTCGCACGTCTCCGCTGGCCAATGCCACCTTCCGACGACCCAACAACGGTGGCTGCGATCCCTTAGGAGGAAACTTCAAATTCAATGGCAAATCGAGATACTCACCGTCCACTTCCTCACCCAAAGCATCAACTCGCAACGCTTTCTCCGTAACTGGAGCCACACGGTCCGTCTGCTTCGCCACTACCGCACCACCTCGGCCTTTGCCTTTCCTCCCACCGAAAAATCGCTGACTTCTTTTTTCTAACACAAACAACCCAGTTTCAGGAATGGAGGGACAAAGGGATGGACGCATTCGCACTCGGGGGGAGGGGGAGG